GTCTCGAAGAAGTTATGACTATTTTCCCGAACTAGCGCAGAACTGAAATTTCATCGACGCCCTCGACGAGACGAAGTCACGACCGTCGATTTCCTTTAACCTCGATAGCTTCTACAGTGATTTTATGAGAAAACTCAAAACATAAAACTTATAGATCCAGGAGTCTTCATTCTTTTGGTTTTGAAATCAGGTCAATCCGATCTGTCTCGAAGAAGTTATGACCATTTTCCCGAGCTAGCGCAGAACTGAAATTTCTTTGATGAAGTCGTGACCAGTCTTGTCAATAATACCCAAAAATTGGTCATTTTTGGGTGTAAACATATACACATGACACATGTCAGAGACATGTGTCCTTTATGTTGGCAACTTGATGATATTTGCTTCCACGTTACCTCAAGTTTCCGCCATGTGTCCCTTGATGATCTTTGGCACAAATGAACCATGTCGACAAGTTGGTCATTTTTTGGTGTAAACATATGCCCCCTTTAAAAGAATGGAATGATTCATCAATCATTCAATTCTTTTAAATTAGGTGTAAGCAAGAGTTATCATATGCCCCCTTGTCATCGGCAAATATGAATTTTTTTTTTGCCAAATTTCATATTCTCATATGGCTCATATTTTTTTCTCGAAAGACACATTGTCAGTAAAGTCTTCATGTGGCCCTCTATCTCCGTCCTTAAGTAATTGCTCATATTTAGACACTCTCGTTGCCAATTGGAATAAATTGGCAAAATTTTGGCCTTCAAATTTTTCTCTAAAATTGAAGCTCAATCCATTGAAAGCCAAATTTGTAAATTCTTTCTCTAGGAGTGAAGTAAGACATCTATTTCTAGCTCTCTTGAATCTAGAAATGAAATGCTAGAATGATTCATAATTATACTGCTTAATATCAGCCAAATCAACAATAGACACATTGGGAACTAACCTGTAGAATTGGCTATGGAATTTTGTCTCCATTTGCTCTCATGAATGTATAGAATTAGCCGGTAAAAATGTATACCACGTGAAGGTTGTCTTAGATAATGACAAGGGAAATAGCCTTAACTTCCAACAATCAGCATGAGATGCATCACCGCATTGTGCATCGAACCGACTAACATGTTCCACTGTCGATTGATCATCTTCGCCAGAAAAAAGGTTGAAATCAGGAATTTCAAAACCTCTTGGATATGGTACCGCGTCCATCCACTCTGGATATGGTTTTCTGTATACGGCTCTCGTATTTACCGGATCATATTCCATGCATTGCATCGCTTGGTCTAGTATTACTTGGACATGTTGGGGATCTTGATCGGGGATCACTTGAGCAGGATTATCAGGACTCGCCTGCACTTGAATTGAACGACTTGATGTTCCAAGCTCGTGCATAAGCTCATGGAAGGTGTTGACAATTATGGGCTTGATCACGTCGATGACGCATTTCATCATGCGGTTAATCGTTTCGTTCTGGTGTTTGTCGAGAATCCTCCTCAAAGTAGTTAACATCACAGGATTTGGCTCTAATTGCATTCTCTGCTCATCAGTGAGTTGTCTCGAGATGTCGACATCTCCACATTGCTCTTGTTCTGCTGCCGGTTGTGTAGTCGATGACTCAGAACATCCCACTTTGTCATTTCCACGTTGCGGTGATGAGTTGTTACCTCCAACATTATCAGGATCAAGTTGTCTCCTTGTTCTTACCATCGTATCTCCTCAAATCAATCACAATGATCCCACCGAGCGTGCCAAAATTATGTTTCGCCAGAAATGCTCCCGTGACGAAATATAATTCACTGAACGTAGTTCTTCGGTTCTTAATGAGAGGAGACGGGTTTCGTGGCGACTCCGGAGAGGAAATATCCAGGAAGACAAGGAAAAACTATGAACTTTTACTTCAAACTTCGAGCTGGACTGTACTTACAAACCGTGCCGAAATTTAATCAATGATAAAGCTTGAAAATACAGCCACACACGTATACAAAGATGTAACGCCGGAATTTAATCGACGACGCGAATCGAAAAACTATAGCTAAGGAAAGATAAAGTGCGGTACATGAAAGTAAAAATAATTAAAAGATAACATATTGTTTGATTTTGGTGGTGGGCTCTCCAGTAGATGGCCAGTGATATTTATAATGATTATGTAGTAACTGCTCTTTAGTGGTTTTCGACGGTTGTGCCCATGTTCTTCCATTTCGAAAATCTTGCCTTCATGTCCATGTGATGCCATGATCCTGCTTTCAAGATAACTGTCCCACGTTCTTGTCTACAAGTGATAACTGCCTCATGATCATGCTTCCAAGTAACTGTTTCCTCAAAATATACATGTATGCTCCTTAGTGATTTCCAACGGTTACGTTGAGTCGACTACCTTGACGGTTTATTCGGCTCCACTACGTTGGCAGTTGCTTCGACCCACTATGTTGACGATTACTTCTTCGATAGTTGTATCCGAGGTTATCGACTACACTTTTTGTTGATTCCTTCAAGTTGGCACTTCTTCACTGAAGTGTATTAATTTTCGCATTCTGGCCAGTCACGACCGTCGACTTCCTTTAACCTCGATAGCTTATACAGTGATTTTATGAGAAAACTCAAAACATAAAAGTTGTAGATCCAGGAGTCTTCGTTCTTTTGGCATTGGAATCAGGTCAATCCGATCTGTCTCGAAGAAGTTATGACCATTTTCCCGAACTAGCGCAGAACTGAAATTTCATCGACGCCCCCGACGAGACGAAGTCACGACCGTCGACTTCCTTTAACCTCGATAGCTTCTACAGTGATTTTATGAGAAAACTCAAAACATAAAAGTTATAGATTCAGGAGTCTTCGTTCTTTTGGCTTTGAAATCAGGTCAATCCGATCTGTCTCGAAAAAGTTATGACCATTTTCCCGAGCTAGCGCAGAACTGAAATTTCTTTGATGAAGTCGTGACCAGTCTTGTCAATAATACCCAAAAATTGGTCATTTTTTGGTGTAAACATATACACATGAACCATGTGTGCTTATGTTGGCAGCTTAATGATATTTGCTTCCACGTTACCTCAAGTCTCCGCCCTGTGTGCCTTGATGATTTTTGGCACAAATGAACCATGTCGACAAGTTGGCCATTTTTTGGTGTAAACATATACACATGACACATGTCTCTGATAGAGACATGTGTCCCTTATGTTGGCAACTTGATGATATTTGCTTCCACGTTACCTCAAGTCTCCGCCATGTGTCCCTTGATGATCTTTGGCACAAATGAACCATGTCGACAAGTTGGCCATTTTTTGGTGTAAACATATACACATGACACATGTCTTTGACATGTGTCCCTTATGTTGGCAACTTGATGATATTTGCTTCCACATTACCTCAAGTCTCCGTCATGTGTCCCTTGATGATCTTTGGCACAAATGAACCATGTCGACAAGTTGATCATTTTTTGGTGTAAACATATACACATGACACATGTCTCTGACATATGTCCTTTATGTTGGCAACTTGATGATATTTGCTTCCACGTTACCTCAAGTCTCCGCCATGTGTCCCTTGATGATCTTTGACACAAATGAACCGTGTCGACAAGTTGGCACAAATGAACCATGTCGACAAGTTGGCCATTTTTTGGTGTAAACATATACACATGACACATGTCTCTGACATGTGTCCCTTATGTTGGCAACTTGATGATATTTGCTTCCATGTTACCTCAAGTCTTCGCCATGTGTCCCTTGATGATCTTTGGCACAAATGAACCATGTCGACAAGTTGGCCATTTTTTGGTGTAAACAGTAGCTTTCTCATTTTTCCATGTTTTTTTCAATTTGTATAAGTTTGTTATGTAATCTTGAATGTCCAAATTATCTCTTGGAGAATCTTCAAGAGCATTAAAGAAGCCATTAGAATTAATAAACACAATCAGCGGGAGATCTGATTGCCCATAAAATCAGATATTTTTTGTAATAATGAGGTTTCCCGATAATGTTAGCTACTTGGGTGAATTGTCTGATCCTCACTCAAAGTGAGTGAAATAGGTAATAACTGATTTGATTTAGATCCAGATCTTATTTCCAAATTTCCAAGTCTAGGTGTCAATTATTTTGACCAACGAATCAAGTCAAAGGAAAATCTGGATCTTCTTATCCCAGGACTACTTAGACATATATACGTGAACATTTAGTATGAATAAAGGTCAAACCCCTTCTAGATTACAAAATTGTTGGAGACGGTTCGGGCTCCCCGATTTTGTTCTTGGAATTTTGCACGTACCACCGTCTTTCACTCGCCCACTATCAATCTTTCAACCGCCATCAAACGAGCCTCTCTTCTTTGTCCACACGTACGTGTGCTGTTGGATGTAGATGAAGCAGAAGAAATTATGTATTTGGGGAAGAAGAATACGTAACACTATTAGTTTTAATCAGAAAAATAATAAATCCGAGAAAGCGATAACAAAATAAAAAGGAGATGAGATACGCTAACCGAATCTCCTTAAAGCGATTAGTCCCTGCTAACGGTGCTAAGCAGATTCACGAACTATGCCTCTAAATATACAACACCTCTAACCCGTTTAAATTAGTACTATGCAAACAAGACTCTGTCAAACACTTCTTGAAACCGGCATAAGAGGAGATGAAGGTGTTTTTTGGTAATTCTTGGAATGAAGAATTTCAGCTCTATTTATAGAGTTTTAGAATTCATGTACAAAAACAATACATGAACTAAAAATTAAATAGATACAAAAATCCAGAAGATACGTGAATTAAATAGAAACAAGAATCCAAAAAATACATGAACTCGAGATATACGTTAATTAAGTAGATACACGAATATATGAACTCGAGAGATACATGAATTCAGCAGATTCATGAATCCAAGATATATATGAATTAAAGATACGTGTCTCGTGTTTTTTTCCCACGTTTGTTGATCCATTAATGCACCATAAATACAATATGTGCTTCTCATTAGGGTTTCCTCCTATAAAACCAGTCCTTCCTTCACATAAACACACAAAATACACTGGAAAATCACCAACCAAGTCCTCTCGCCGCACACAGCCTTCAATGGATTCACCGAGCCAGAAACTTATGACATTGCTTACACTTGTCGTCATCTTCTCCGCCTCTTCGGCCAGTGCAGAATCCAAACTGGTACACAAGGTTTGCAGTAAAACTGACAATTACCCGCGCTGCATCGCTGCTCTGCATCTCGACCCACGAGCTGCAAAAGCAACTACGCTTCGTTCTCTCGGCATAATCGCTTTGCAAATAGCGTCAAAGAACACTGCCGGCAGTCGGAAGGCTGTGGACCGAATGCTAGCAGACCCGCAGACGAGTTCCTCATGGAAGCCGGTGCTCAAGACTTGTAAGGCTAACATCGACAATGCGGCCAGGCAGTTCTCAACAGCAAGTCGTGATCTCGTAGAAGACGCAATGTCTGCAAATTATGATGTTATGATGGCCTGGGACGAAATCGACGCCTGCTTGAAGTTCATGAGAAGTAGCAAGCAGAATATTCCACCATTAGTCACCATATGCACTCGTGCCAATTTTTTCGTTTCCATCGGCCTTGTCGTTACCGACTAAAAGCCTTAACGAGTGTGGATTGAATTTCTGTAATAATGTGCAGCACACATGAGGAGCGTTAACGAGGTAGGATTATATTTCTATAGTAATGATTTCCTTGTTGAATGCTTTTGCAGTATATGCAGTTGCTACAAGAAATGTTTCTATTCAGCAACATTACTGTCGCGGTCCAACCAATTAGAAAATAGAACAAAAGCAGCCATTTTTGCAGCTTCTCTCTAATTTGGCAAGGAAAGATTACTCGTTTGATGCAATGATTCTAACTCTTTTCCAAAGAAATCTAAAATCCCAGTATGATCATATCCTAGCAAAGAATAGTATCGATTGTGATTCTTTTATTTTTCTTATTTTTATAGAACAACGATTCATTGCCACTTCTCCTTTGGCAAAAATCATTTTGTTCCAAGTTTTTGCTAGATTTTGTCACGTTATGTACCAATTTGGGATTTTTTGTAATCTAAAAATTAGATTTTGGACGTGAGTGTATCAGTATGATCATATCCTAGCAAACAATAGTATCAATTACGATTCTTTTATTTTTTATATTTTTGTAAAACAACGATTCATTGCCTAAAGAATGACCGAAAATAGGTATTGCAGAGTGTTGGTTTTCTACGGAACATGCATAGTTAAAAAATATAAACGCGGCGGAAAGATATAACCACACATGTATCTCCAGAGGCGTTGTTCGTGCGTTTCAGTCAAAAATCGGAAAACCATAGGGGGTTAAACGGATTACCTTTCGTAGCGTGCTCGAAACGATTTCGGTTCGGATGTTCTTCAGTTCGAACCCCACAAGCGTCGGACCTCTAATTCAGACACACCACCAATTGCACGACGAACGGAAGGAAAAACTTGCAGGTAATCACCAATATAATTATGCTAGCAATCTTGTGGCGATAATTCTCCGCACTCTCAATATTTCAGTCACAGCGTCGGAAGAGAGAAAGCGTATTTTCTTAACTCTCACGAACACATGATAATTGCATACGCATTTTCTTCATCATCTTGCAACTGTTGCTGATCGCGCCTTAGGCGCAATCAGCAACAGTTGCTGATCGCATGTGTGCACGTTGCACGCGATCAGCAAGGGTTGCTGATCGCATGTGTGCACGTTGCACACGGTCAGCAACCGTTTGCTGACCGTGTGCCATGCACATTACACACGATCAACAACGGTTACTGATCGTGTGTGTCATGCACACGGTCAGCAACCGTTTGCTGACCGTGTGCCATGCACATGGTCAGCGCTTGCTGGCCACGTGCATGCGACAAAATTTTTTTTTATATATAAATAAATATAAACATGTATATACAATTATAGAAGTGCATGATCAGCATATGTGTATTTTGTGAGCATCATATGCACACACGCCCATGACAAAAATTGAATTAAATTAAATCCCATTTAATTTAATTTCAGTCCGACTCAATTCGATTGCAAACATATTTGCAATATCGTCTCTTCCGTACAACGACATCCAAAATTGGTTATGGTGTGTGACATCCCTAGATTTATCACTGAGCTGGTAGTAAGACTTGCACTAACACATTAGTACTTCCAAGAGAATTGATTGTCCCAATCAATCTCTAGGTCCTACAAGGCATGATTGACATCTAGCAATATGTTATAGCTACCCAGATAGTGTGAATGCTTTAAGAACATAATGAACCTGTCAGCTTTGACTACAGTGTAATTCAATCCCTCTGCCTTACTATGTCCCGATCGAACAAAGACCATGGAATATTTGTCATGCCACCAATTCGATCATATGCACAAACCTAATTGACATGCATTTTATATGAGACATGAACAGTTCATTTTCGATTACAACCCCGACCGAGGATTTTAATGCAGTGTCAAGATTAGATTGCATAGGTAATCATTATTGTACCTTGCGTATAACAAGGAGACAGATTTCATTTTGCGCACACGTACAACTTCGTATGTGAATGAACTATGGCCATCAAGTACAGAGACGGATCAACGAACCCGCAATATGTGCACCTGTGAACCATAGCCATCTAACACACAAGTCAACACTGTGCCTCGGGTCTAAGGATTATTTACACAAGACCAGAGCATGAACGATTAGGCATTGACCACGCTAAAAGCTTCCATGTTACTAATCGTTAAATGCGTGTCACGTTCAGTGAACTTGTCTAGTACAAACACCTGTGTTCTAACTTGGGCATCATAATACCCAATGACCCATGACTCGTCATTCCCTTAAATATCCAATACTTAACGATGAAGCTAAGAACACACTGATCTCAACAAGATTATTGATATCCATTCAATGATCCATCGACCGGGAACAATTTAAAGATTCAGTCTAACTGTGAACCTGTCACACATATTCTTAACATCTCAAGAATAAGTCCAGTCACAACTGATCTTCTGGAATTATTCATATATTTAAATAATTGGACAAATGAATGAATACGTCATTGCCATTAAATAAATAATGAAATTTAAATCCCTAACATGTAACTATTACATGATAACTTTAGGGCATACATCTAACACAGGCGCTGCTCCTTAGGCAAAAATCATTTTGCCCCAAGATTTTGGTAGATTTTGTCCCTTTACTAATTTGGGATTTTTTGTAACATAAAAATTATTTTTGGGTAAAAATGACATGGGGGTGTATCATATTGAGAATTTAATTGATACGAAAATTAATTTGGGATAAAGAAAGTACAGATGTATCGGTTTGGGATTTTTGCAGTATTAAGCGATAAAGCGGCATCACATGCAATTCGGGATGTGAAAATGGCTCACAAACTCAAATTTTGACCCAAATTTATTGAAGTTAAGGCCTGCTGAGATTTGTAATAAATATCAAAATGGGCTCCAAAATGAAAAGCCCTAAAATTGGGTTTCAATGGGCATGTTATGAACCCACTTAATCAAAATAGAAAAGTTAAGATAACTGTTCTCACTCCCTCTTCGAACTTCTCTACTCTCTTCTCTCTGCCCCTCTCTTTGATTCCACCGATGGTGACTAGCCAATCCCCGTCCTCGGTGAGCTTTCTCCCTTTCTCTTTGATCCCAACTGGTCGGCGTCGCCTCCGCCCCAACCGCCTATTTCCACCGTCGCTGCCAAGTATCTACAGTGGCCCTCTGAAGAGTCAAACTCATCTGTCGCCAACATCGCTGGCCATCCTGCTTTCTAGTAGATATGGCTTTATGCCCGTTTACGCTTTGCAGAGTCTTTAGATGGAGGCAATTGTGCATAGCTTGCAAAGCAAGAAGATATTGGTGATTTTCTTGTTGGCAGTGCTTGCTTGAAGGTACACTCTACTAAATCATTTCTCACAAAGCTTGAAAATCACATGTTTTTTATCAAAAAAGGAAAAAGCTTACGCTTGTCACAAGCCTGCTCATTTGTGTATGAGTTGACATGTGATGCGGGGTCCTGAGTTTGCTACAATTGTCAACTCTGTAACATCCCAAAAAATCGCTGCTTGATGAATATTAATGTAGTTTTCACAAGAAGAGTTAACAACGGGTGACCAGAATACATTCGTTACCGGATCGCAGTGAGTTAAAGTTATGAACTGGTTCCCCACAAGTTGATTTTTCTCAGTTGTCTAATATTCCCTTTGATGGGTCTTAAGAATCTACCATTTGTTGATTTTGCAATTGCCAAACTTCTATGAGTTTGATGAATAGAAGATGACATATCCCATAGTTCTCGTATATCAAGGAGGGAAAAAGTGTCAAAAAAGTCATAAACCTATTACATTGGTATTAATTTAGTCATAAACTTTTTTTGTGCCAATTCAGTCCTTCCAGATAATTTTAGCAGGATATTACTGTCGTGGACGCCGGGCGGCTTACGTGGTACTGTTGGCAATGATGTGGACAACTTTTAATTATATTTTAATATTTGTAGAATTTTTTTATTTTTTAAAAAATATATTTTCTTTTTTCTTTTTCTTCCCTTCTCTCTCTTCTTCCTCCAGCCGATCATCGGTCCAGCAATCGGCTGGACCTCGCCGCCTTTGGCGAGCCTTACTGGCCACTAGCAAGGGGTTGAACCTCGCCAGCAACTGGGTGAGGCATGACCTCGCCGGATCTAGCAACGCCGGGCCTCACTCATGGCCAGGGAGGCTCGATCCTCGACAGATTCAGCGAGGTCATGCCTCGTGGCCTCGCCAGCAGCTTGGCAAGGCTCGCCGTCGCTGGCGAGGGCGACCTTGCCAACCCTAGCCTCCAGCCAATTGCTAGTGGAGGAAGAAGAAAGGGAAGGAAAAAAAAAAGAACGCAAAGAAAAAAAAAGAAAAGAAATTTTTTTAAAAATAAATAAATAATTCGAAAAATATTAAAAATAAGCTACGTCTGTAGAGGCGATGCCACGTAAGCCAACTAATGTCCACGTCAGCAATATCCTACCAAAATTAGCCGGAGGACTGAATTGGTATAAAGACAAAAGCTTTAAGACTGAATTGGTACAAAAAAAAGGTTTAAGATTGAATTGGCACCATCACAATAGGTTTAAAACTTTTATGACAGTTTTTTCAAGAGAAAGACACTAAAAGTACCAAAAGTTGTGTATGGCACTCACTTTAGTGCCAAAAGTTTTTTTTTTAATCACTTAAGTGTCAACTTTTTTGAAAAACGATCATTTCAGTGCCAACTCCAATATGTTTGGCCGGAAATCTGACGTGGCCTTTTTTTATTAATATCTTAAGCTGACATCGCTTGCTGGAGGTCTGAATCAGCATAAAAAGCCCAAAACAACATCATTTAACCAGTTTCATCTACCGTATAACCTAAAACGACGTTCATCTCCTTCTCTCTCTCTCTCTCTCTTCCCCTCTCTCTCTCCTCCATTTCTTCATTTGAGCTTTGCAACATCACATGAAGGAGGAGAGGATTGGGCTTGGAGGCGGCATCGGAGGAGGATTGGCGGTGGGATTTGGCCTCGAGCTAGCGCTTCTCTTGCTCGCGAAGTTTCTGGATTTGCTTTTACTCGATCTAGGAGCGCTTGAAGGTGCGCCGGCCGTTGGTTTCTTCAGTGAGGGTTTGGCGCTTGTTGACTAGTTCTCGCTTCGA